AAAAAGGAGCAGAAGGTGTTGGATCAGCCATTCTAAACGAGTGTGTGTGTGGCAGTAAAAAGCAGGGTCACGTAACAAATTCGGCTGTTTATCCTGGTATTTTCACTACAAGCTTCTGTTAGCTCTGTCTTGGTCAGCAGTGTGAAGAAAGACCTATGATCCCTTGCTAAGGTACTCCAAGGAGTCTGCACTGAGGATTTACGTTAGCCTTAGATCGTCAGTACTCAGTACCTGTACAGCTTGGGTTGCGATCTCCTTGTTCCAGGACAGATGTCATGTTTGCTGGCTAGCTTTCTGTCTACCCTAGAAGGAATTTTTTATTTTTTTTTTCAGTATAATGGATTGGCATTCTTATACTTGTAAATTCCTTATAGTGTAGCTTAGTGCCTCGTTCCTCTTCTTCTGGGGCAAAGCTCCTTCATCATCCATGGTGGGGAAGGTGTGACCCTACATACTACATTAAGCACAAATTGTGCTTCTGACATTTTATATCCAGTATTTTTTCTTAAAAATCACAGTGTGACTTAACCGTAGCAAATCCCTAATAGAAATTTATTTCTGTTGAGTACAGACCTTGAGTAAACTGTACACCACCTTTTTTTTTTTTGTGTTTTGATGATGGAGAGAGGTTGTTGTGTTGTTTGTTCTCTTCCAGCTTTGCTCCTCACTAAGTAAAGGAAAATGTCTTGCTACTTTCCCAATCAACTTTTGTGTCTAACTTTTTAGGTGGCTGGTCGCAAGGGATTCCCTCATGTGATTTACGCTCGTCTTTGGAGGTGGCCTGATCTTCATAAAAATGAACTCAAGCATGTTAAATATTGTCAGTATGCTTTTGACTTAAAATGTGACAGTGTCTGTGTAAATCCTTACCATTATGAGCGTGTAGTATCGCCTGGCATCGGTAAGTAGACTCTTGATTTAAAATGGAACAGTAGGAATAAAAATGTAAAATGATTTCCTTCTGAGTGCAGAAAATACAGGCCTAACTTAGAAACATTAACTTTTAATTATCTAATTCTGAATTGCTCTAATGTGCTCTTGTCCATCTTCTTAATGGAATTATTCTTTTACCTTTATTCCAAATTTGAAAGAACAGTTTGTGGCTTTTGTTCAAGCCTCTCTCTTGGCTTTGCACATGGTTCTTGCAGTTGTTGTGTATCCTAGGAGTAACCTACTGTTGAGACGTGTGTTGTGATGGAGGGGGTATAACGTGTAGAGTCTGTAGTACTGGTTTGTAAAGGCTTATAAACTTATTGTTCAAACGTTGTTAAAGTTCTCTGTGTATATAATCCTCCACACTCCCTTTTCTTTTTCTTCTTTTTAAAGATCTCTCAGGACTGACACTACAGAGTTCTGGTGAGTAGTTCTGTGGGCACAGACTGTGTTAAACTGTGCAGTATGTACACAATTTACTCCTGTGTATCTTCTTGGGAGGGAGGATGGAGAGCAGATGGGAATGCATTTATCCCTCTGGTTTTGTAAAACCAGATAAGCTGGCCTATGAGAGGTAAAGATTGATAAATTTTTTAAGTTGAGGCTTCAGCTTGGCTTGCAGGTGTGTTGTGTTTTCGTTGCCTGCAACTTACAAACCCCAACAAAAAAGAAAAACAAAACCTCACCGTTGAATGCTACTGATTTAAAACCAAAATACAAACCAAAACTCAAAAAACCCACAGCAGAAAAGGTGTGCACCTGTATGATATACTAATTAATTGAACTGGGAATAATAGATGCTTATAATTTAATCAGTAGTTTAACAAACAAATAATAGAAAATCTGTAATTAATATACACTTGAATGAAGCAGTCTAATATTTTGCTCTCCCTGAAATTCGAGAGAAATCGGATGTCCAGTGGATATTATTCAGAAGTCTGGGATTGTGCAACTGGTAGCTGCTTTGTTCCAGAACTGATTTTTTTCCCTTCCAGAAGAAATTAATAGAGAAGGAGATTTGGGTAATGCAATGGTTTTAGCACACTATTAGAAGGATTCAAGCAAAAATAACTTAAAAAAATCCCCAAACAACCCAACAAACTGTTAACTTCACAAGCTTTAACTTGTGTGCACATCTCTGCTAATTTGCATTGTTACCTTTGTGTTCTGAAAAATGATCCTTTTGTTAAGAATCAAAGCTTACTAGCCAGCAGTTAAACACACAGTAAATGTTTCTTTGTTGTGCTACTGTTTTTTGCAACAGGAAACAGAAAATTACTGTCAGATTTTAATACATTTGAGGCTGCTTTAAAAGTGAGCATGGGAGCTAATGCGGTGTAAGAATTGTACTTGAACATGTTTGGTAGAATATATAGAAACAAATTCTATAACAAATAGGTGCTTGACGAAAACCGTGTTTTTTCCTTTTGTTGACCATGTCCACCTACACAGTGATGGACTAGAAAACAAAATGATGTTAGAGTCTACTACTGTGGGTCTAAACTGCTTGTTTGGTAGCAGTTAACAAAATAAACAGTTGGTTTTTCCATCCAGTTACACTTCAAAATTTCCTGCTGCTGACTTGAAGTGTTTGTAATTCAGAGGAGTGCTTTAACAATGTTTATGTAGGTTAAGTCCTCTGCCCAGTAGTTTTAATAGCATTGTTATTACTTGAAACTGGTAGTGCAATTTGTAGTTAAATCCTGAAAACAGATTTGCTTTGCACGTTCAACCGTTTGCTTCTTCACAGCTCCGTCAAGCATGTTGGTGAAGGACGAATACGTTCACGACTACGAGGGGCAGCCGTCATTGTCTTCTGCTGAAGGCCATTCAGTCCAAACCATCCAGCATCCACCGAGTAACAGGGCGTCTACGGAGCCTTACAGCACCCCAGCCATGTTAGCTCCAACTGAGGCTAGCACTACCAGCACCACTAATTTTCCCAACATTCCTGTGGCTTCAACAAGTAAGATCATCGAGATTATATGAAATACAAAACTCTGGAAATACGAAAGCTCAAAGATAACCACTGATTTTTGCCAAAAAATGCATTGGAACTGTGCTGCTGCCACGCTACATGGATAAAACGTGTGGCAATATGATCTAGGCAGTCTCGTAAGCATTAACGTAAGGTTTTAACTTGGAGCAAAATTTGAGTAACTTTTCCTGGTGACCCAGTCCTTTTTCCATGAGACTACATGGGTGTTCCAGGACTGTTTCGGATGTGCCAAAGGTTCAGTGATACAATCTTAAAACAATTGACCACTGACAAAACATTATGGCTATTATTGGAATAATTGCTGTAGGAATGGAAGAATTTTATTATTTTATTACAGCAGCAAGCGGGACAACAAATGGATATACTGTAAGCTGTCAGTATTGAGAGGCTTTCAGACAATTCTTTAGTGTTCCAGAGCTGACAAAATGAGTCTTCCAGTTTTCACTTCTTTTTTTTTTTTATAATGGCCCACTGTACTACCAAGGTGACAGCCCTAATTAGTATTTTCATGAGTGCTTTGGAGTGCTGCTTTGAAGTTTTTCTTACTTTCTGTTGTGTATTTGGTGCAAGCAGGAGTCTGGTTTACCAATGTCAAACCTCAGACTCCAGCAGGACAGTAAAGCAGTTATATATGCAGTGTCCTGCAACCCTAATGTTGGGAAACCATAAAGTTTGGAGGGGCTTCACATACTCTTTGTGACTGTAAGAATCAAAGATGTGTGAATATAATGGATTTCATGTTATCAGATTTGAATTATGGTGGTGTGGTGTTTTGATAATGTTCTTTAATTTTAGCTGACAACTTTTTTGCTAAAACTAATGATGTTTTTGCCAAGTTGAGATATGATGTCTGTATTTGTCTCCAGCAGAGAAAAAAGAATAGGCAGTTTAATTGTATTGCCTTTGCACAACAGTGTATACTTAACAGCTTGTTTTCATCAGTGCTATAGTTGTTGGAGCCAAGTGGACAGGAAACAAACCTCGTTTTTAGGTTTTAGTTCAAGTTTTCAATGTGTTAAATTCTCCTAGCCACACCAGTTTGAGAGTGCAAGTGTGCTTGTGAAACGGCTGATCAGTTTAGTGTCAATGGCTGAGCTGAAGCCTTTTAAAATCAAATTCTGTTAACCTGCTCTGATGAAATATCTGTAGCTTTACTTCAAAACTTAGACAAGTCTTGAAATATAATTACTTGGGAGAAAAAATCCCCAGCAACTTTGTCAGAAAGGAGTCCAATGATGTATGCAGGTCTATTCCAGCACTATTCTTAAAAATAAAATACTGTTTAGTATGTTTTGGAGGAACGTAAATTTAAGCACACATCTTCCTTAGGAGCAGTATTCATAACCAGCTCAAAATAAGCAACTTATTGGACATACTGTTGGCCTGTTTGGATTCATGCCAAATCTACTCCAGATGTCTTATCCAGTAAAACCTGTAACATCTCTTCTTCTTCCCTTTCAAACTTAAAAATGAGATGTGAACAAAACAAAGATGCGGTTGATAAACTGAGTTCTCTGCATACTTCTACTCCTGAAATATTAAGGGTGTCAGAATCAAAATTAGCTGATGCAAAAGCATCTTGCTTCCAGTTTCCTAAAACACTCTGGTGGGTGGAAAAAAAATACTGAAACCAAACTTGTAGGAACTGTGTATTGCAGTGCCCTTAGTTGGGTGTATTTTCCTACCCAGTAGTGCTGAGCTCTTCTTAATTAAAATTTTGGAACGCTCATGAATAGGTAGTGTGTTCTTTTACCAGGTCAACCTACCAGTATATTGACAGGTAGCCATAGTGATGGATTCTTACAGATTGCTTCAGGGCCTCAGCCAGGAATTCAGCAGAATGGGTTTACAGCTCAGCCAGCTACTTACCATCACAGTGAGTATATACATACGTGCACTCTTCTTAGTTTTCTAAAACCAGTTTCCAAATGTTCAGGAGAAAATAGAGGATTAGAAGTGAGATGGGGAAACACCTCCCTTAAAAACCAACCACTCCTTTCTTTTTCTAGACAGTACTACGACTTGGACTGGAAGTCGGACGGCAGCCTACACGCCTACCATACCTCACCACCAGAATGGCCATCTTCAGCATCACCCACCTATGCATCCTGGACATTACTGTAAGTGCTGCAGCTTCTCAAACCACTTTGTTTTCAATTTTGTTCAATAGTGGGACTCATTTGTGATTATTCTTTACCCTCAAATACTTTTTTTTTTTCATTGTAGAACTACCATTACTGTGTTTAGTATGTTCTGACAGACCTTGATGAGACTTTCTTCCACAAAAGCAGCAGATACTAGAAATTCAGATAGCTATTAGTGATGCCATCTATATTAAAGATGTCTTACTTAACAAAACTAGCGTTTCCTTTCTAAACCTCTCTTTTTAAGGCTTTGCAATCTTGTAATAAGTATTTCCTTTGGAAAAGGAAGTTGATTCAGAATGTGGTGTTTGGATATTTTTCTTTCAAAGCTTGGGAGTTTCTGTCTGGTTTTATTTTCTAGAAATCTTGAGGTCGTGTCTTACAGATGTAACAACCTACACGAAGCTTTGGAAGATGTGTGTCCATGTACACTAGCCAGTTTGAAAGAACTTTGTGAAAGCTTGTGGTGAAGTACTTGTCAATACAGTGGTCTTGCCACAGCCTGATTCATGAGTACATTTGGCACGGAAACTTAAAATTCATCTGGAAAATAGGACTGCAGCCTCTTGTTTTAACGTACAGGGGGTGAGAAGGAAAAGAAAAAACGATCAAATGTCTAGTGTTAGTGTTTAGCACAGTATGTGTATTATAAGAGTATAGTGCAAAAAAACCCTCACCCGAATTCAGGTTTTTCTAAATTTTATTGCAAAAAGTTAGAAACAGTTCTTTATTTCCTAATATAGTACTTAAACACATCACCTTTTTGCAGCGATCGTTGTTACTGGAGGGGAGAATATGCTGTGAGTTAACGTTAGAATGACTTCTCAGCCTGTGTCTATCAAGAAAATTGTGATTTAGATACAGTCACTCAGTTTCATTTTTTTGTTCTGGATCCCCCTTCATTTATCATGTTTGTGAGAAATAACCAGCATGTAAAGACTTCAGTGGTGCCGTAGATACTCTCTAAATATTTCTCAGTGCGTGTAGCTTTCCAGAATTCATCTTTGAACTGGCTGGTGATACCACGTAGAGCTTTTCTGGGCTGCTGCCATTTTTTACTTCAGAAAGTCGCGTGTTTTGACACCTACCAACGTTGTGCCTGTTTTTACACCTTGTTGCAAAAGCTGTGGTTACTTTTAATACTATGTTTAAGCCTTTCTTTGTTCTCTGCTGCCTGTGAGGGACCTAGTTAGCTTATAAAAGCAGAGAGAATAAACTGACCAATACCAAGACTGTATTCAGTATGTTTTTCCTTTAGAAAATGAGTTCTTTAGGGCTTTTTTCTGTCTTCAGGGAGTGTTTCTTATGGTCAAGTCCACAGCGTGCTGGGCAACTTCTGTGACTGATGAAACTAATGAAGTGTGGTTTCTGGCAGATTTATATCGCATGCCTCTACACAGTGATTCTCTCCTTGCTCAACCTGGGGGCAGATGTGAGGCCTCAGTCCTGTTTCTGTTAGATCTTCATGCTGCATCTGGTTTCTGCTCTCTGCTGGAGCTGGGTCTGGCTTGAGCAGCGTCCAGCCTCTCCTCCTGGGATACTGATGGAGTTCTTTGCTCTACTCAACTTCAGAATTTTTAGGAAATCTCTATAGAAAGTGTAATTCTTCTGTGGGCATTTTTCTCCCTTGTCAGATTTGGCCAATTGGTTCAGAAATTACTGGGATTTATAACATCTGGCATCCTCACAAGTCTTTTTTTCATAGGAAAACAAGAAAGAAGACCTTATTTTTCCTCCTGAAAAATAAATTGCTTGTTTTTTTTTAAAGGGCCAGTTCACAACGAACTTGCATTCCAGCCTCCTATATCAAATCATCCTGGTGAGTAAAATCTAATGTGTAATGCTAAGTATTCTGCAAGCTAGTAACTTTCTGATTTTTTTTTCTTTTTGAATCAAGTACTGTGAAATTTGTGAGATAGACATTCAAAAGGAGACGAAAAAAGGAAAGGAACCATTTTGTGATAAGTCTTGTTTTGAATTCGGACCTCTGCTTTGAAATAGTGACGTGCTGTACGAACTGAATTTAATTTAGATGCCCAAGTCAAAAATCACAGTCCTCAAACCCACGTTAAACTGGTTCTAATTCCTACCCTGGAGGTGCCTGAACTCTGAACGTGCTCAATCCCAAACTTCACAGGGTGCCTGAAGTTCTACTTTTTGCCTGTTCCTAACATCATCGAGCTTAGGTCATGCCAAAGCCCTCTTGGATCCGTAATCTAGAAGTCCTTTGTCACAGCCAGATATCCTGAAAGTACAGCTGAAAAGCATAAAAGTTGAACTCATTCATTGTCCAGTGACTAAAGCAGTACTAGAAATAAAACTATTGACAATTGCTGGCTGAACTTAACTGTACCTAAATTGTATTTCCTATTATTTAGCATGTCTTTTTCACCCTATTGATTTACCTGTTGATTTCACCCTGTTCAGTCCTCAGAGACTTGAGTATTTATTTGCAGATAAAAAGACTTAAAAGGAATTCAGGCACCTTCGTTTAGTCTTCTCTAATAAATAAACAGAACAGTTTGTGAAGATAAGTAGGTGTGCTGTTGCGTGCTGCAGTCTGTTAAGAACGAGTACCACTTTTGGCACTGGGAGGAGAGCTCTTTTCCCTGTTGGCTGGTCAGGCTGCTGTGTTTAGGTCCTGTGGTGTTAGCTCTTCAGCTTCCCCCTCTTTTGGGTGCACTGTAGTGCTGATGTTCTTTGCCCGCCAAGCTGTTTAAGTGCCAGCTGTGTTACCTTTTTGTGGAAATGGGCCTTTATAGTCAGCAAAGGTGCTGAGTCCCTGAAATCCCCGGTGGCTTAAGCTTATGGCAACTTTAAGTTTTGATGTGTCTGAAGAGAGAAACTCTTAACACTTAAAACACGTGCAGCAAACTGGGATTCCTTTCCTCACATGGTAGCTTCTTCCACGTACCATCTTTCCTTTGTAGACAGTTCTTCTTTTTAGAATACTGTGAGTTAAAAATGTCTCTTTGCTATTAAAACAAGTCATTTTGTTCTGCTCCCTTCCTTAATACTTCCTCGTTTTATCCCATACCTGACTTCCTTGTGTGCAGACAAGATGGCTATGTGATCTTTTTTATGATGTTCTTGATGTTTTTCCCCCATTACCCTGCTTTCCAAACCTGTTTTGCTTTGCAGGGAGGATAGAGAAAGCTGCTTTCACCTAGGAGGTGTAGTTACTTGTATCTTCAGCCAGACCTGTTTTGAGAGTTGGTTTCTGTCTAGCCGTGAATAGGCATGTGTGTATCACTTATTTTTTGCTGAAGGAGGACAAAGTCAAGCTATAAGGTGCAGGAATGCAGATGGTTTACAAAATCTAACTGCAATTACAAACTGACTTGTGAGATCTTCACTACAAAAAATCTCAGCATTGATGCGTGCTCAAATAAAAACAAGAAGCTTATGTTCATTGTAGGATTTTTCTGTGCTAGCAGACATGTCTGTGTCTATCTCAACTTCTACGAAAATGCACTCTTATTCTGAATACAAATGCAGTTGCAGGAGGTTTTACTGATTGTCTGGAATGGGTTTATAGGGTTTTTTATGCCTTTCAGTCAGTTAATTGTCTATATTCTTTAGCTCCAGAATATTGGTGTTCAATCGCATACTTTGAAATGGACGTGCAAGTTGGGGAAACATTTAAGGTCCCTTCAAGCTGTCCGATTGTGACTGTTGATGGATACGTGGATCCTTCTGGAGGAGACCGTTTTTGCCTGGGCCAGCTTTCCAACGTGCATAGAACAGAAGCCATTGAGAGAGCAAGGTAATTCTGCAGACCTCAAAAGCTCCAGCTGTCTGTGTTATTTGATAATATTTTGTTTTGTCTTCGGTGTGTGCCTCCCTTTTGAAGTCACAAGGATGATAGTGTTTATTTTAACTGAATTAGGTACAGCAGAGTGTATCTTTCTAGGCCACTACTGTCACGCATTCGAAATGTGAACTGTGTGACAAAGACCCTCATTGCTTTGTGCCAGCGCGTTGCTTTCAGAGGCTGTGCTTTCAAGGATAAAATTAGCAACTCGTGCCATTATGCATGCAAGATGAATATTAGCTCTCACCACCACAGAGCGATGTGAGAATAACTGCAATATATAGATTTGTCAAGGTTGATAGAGAGCTAGTTGGATTTTCATTCATTCTCACCACGTGTGTGCTAGGCTTTGATGTGGAAGCACAGAGAACTGAAGCAATCTTGCAGCTTTTTTTTTTCCTCTTGGAAACAAAAAGGAAAAAAATTATTCCATGTCTTCAGAAATGTTGCATTGTGACAGTCAAAAAGCTGGATTGCTGTAACACGATCCAAACGACCATACAGTTCTGCATCGAAATGTGACTTTCTGTGCTAGAATATTTGTGGGATTTTACACTTCTGAACAGAACTGAAAGTGTTTGGTATCCCAGCTCTGTGAGTTAGTTGCTACTCAAATACCGTTGCTTCTACAGTCTCTGTTTCCCGTAGATCTTGACATGGTATTGCAGATGATTTCTTACTTTACAGATTTTGTGTAACTATATACTAACTTATATCTAAGATAATAACTAGAATTTCAAGTCTTTGTATGAGTGGAATGTAAATTAAGGTATCAGACAACTGAGAGCTGGAGAATTGTCGATGGTTTATTTAGTAAAGGTCTGATTTGTTGTATACCTACACAGGTGCATTGTGTTTTTCTTTTTAAGGTTGCACATAGGTAAAGGCGTGCAGCTGGAGTGCAAAGGAGAAGGCGACGTGTGGGTTCGATGCCTCAGTGACCACGCGGTCTTCGTTCAGAGCTACTACCTGGATAGAGAAGCGGGGCGTGCACCAGGGGATGCTGTTCACAAGATCTACCCAAGCGCATATATAAAGGTTGGTGTTCTTGGATGAAAATTGTGGGGGAAGTGGCAGACATGTGGTTCTTACAAATGTTAGGGAAGCTATGAGACACTGAAATAAATGTAACTTTGCTTTTGGTTATCCTTTAAAAAAATCCTAAAACTTCCCATTTGGCAAGTCATGTAAGATGACTTCTAATGACTCTAAACTGAAAGTATCATCTTGATACTACAGAAGTAACTAATTTTGTATTTTGTCACAAACCATATTGATAGCAGGTTTTTGTAATTTTTGCCCAACAGTTTTAAATTAACTGCTACTAAAATTTTTAGCGTAGGTTATCTGTTTGTTTACTCTCTCTCCAAAACAAGAGAAGTTGGGAAAGGATGTATAAATGCAGTAGAAGTGTGTGTTACAGTGTTACAAACATGAAGTGATCCAGAGGTCAGCAGAAGTTGCATGGAAACAAAGTATTTTCAGGAGATTCTTAATTAATTAATAGACATGCCTCTCCCAGACTTTAAACTTTATTGAGGACAAGTCACACCTGTAAATAATCATTATGGAATTAGAGATTAATTGCTTGAAGTTTGCAGTTGGTTTTTTTTAAGCAGTTTTACAGGCAGATTGTGTGATGAAGGTGAAATTTTTTTCCCCGCCCTCTATGTATGAGCTTTTTAGTATGAGAGCAGAGTTCCTGTATATGTTAGTGCCAAACCTGATCAGAAAGACACAAAATGCCACCAACCTGAAGTCTAGCTGCTGAAACTTCAGAGCTATCAATTATTAGTATTTCTTTTAAATAGACTGATGTATTTCAGTAAAGCAGTGAAGAAGAATGAAGTCTGACAAAGTCAAGCAGGACTTGTGGGCTTCCATTTTTCTTTATATGCCTATTTTCTGAAAATCCTGGGATTCAACTAAGAAATCAGGATTTTATCAGCCTGTAGGATCCTTCAGACTTTGATCTTGCAGTCAGTTCTGCCCAGGGAACTGCTTTAGCCTGCTCAGCTCAGCTGGGTTCTGGTATTGCCATAGGAGAAGAGTCTCTAAGGATCACCTTTAATGGATTATTTCTGTTAGAAATTAAACTAGTCAGGGAAGGTTTGCTTTTTCCCAAGTGTATGCTGAGACTGTGAAAGTTGCTTTGGGAGGGCAGAGGTGTCCAGATTGTTGGAGATGGGAGTTGAGAAATTCCTTCCTTCATTGATTTCGATAAGTCTGCATAGTTTGATTTACTTATTTTTTTTAAAGGTGTTTGATTTACGCCAATGTCATCGTCAGATGCAACAGCAGGCTGCCACTGCCCAGGCTGCTGCTGCTGCTCAAGCTGCAGCAGTAGCTGGAAACATCCCTGGACCAGGATCAGTAGGTGGAATAGCCCCAGCCATTAGTAAGTACATCAACTGCTTGGTGTCTCCTTTTTTTTGTTTTTTTTCCTTACCTGAAAACAATTAACACAGCATCCCCCCACCCACTGCCCCTGCAACAGTACAAATGGACTTGGATTGGGGTGCAGTGGGGCTGCGGTGGCATCGTGGTAAGTCTGTATTCGTTCCTTTGTACCTGCTCCACACACCAGTTTGCGCTCCATACTCTTCAGGGGATGTTGCATATGCAGTACAACAGAAAACGTTTATATACAGGGTCAAATAGCAGAAGGCTATTACTTTAAGCAGAGATGCTTTTGGCTGCTTAGATCCAAGCTTGAAAACTGATCTTTGAGATCTAAGCTCATAAAAACATTACTCAAAACAACAGGGATTACTGAGTGACAAATTCCTTGACTACGTTTAGGGAAACTTAAGAGCCTTGAGAAGAGGGTGTTTTCTCTTTCTTTTTCTTTCATTTTTTAAAGTTATTCTGGGCTAGGGTTTTCTTAGCTGCTAAATTCTAGATCCTTTAAATTCTGCCTGAGTACTTTTAAAAGTCTAAGTCCAACTGCTTTTTGTGCCATAGTGTTTTCTGGGTTCCTTGTATGGCTAAACGATTCTTCCAGCTATCCTAAATTGCTGAAGGCATTTTGGGGAATGTATTTAACTTCTGTCTTAGCCATACTTTGATTTGAAGTTTGCCAGCTCTGTTCATCTTTTTATTTTATTAGATGTAAGTAGTGTAATTTGTTAACCCCGTTTCCTGCAGGTGATCATTCTTCTTATGCTGAAAATGCAGCATTTGGCAGACATCAAGAATAAGTTTTTTATTTACCATATTTCCCAAATAAGGTTTATGTGTTTTGTGTCCCGTAGGAAATTAGGTTTCATTGGCTTCTTTATTATAAGGAGTTTTATATTTTAACACTGTCAAAATTGAAGAGTGATGAGAAAAAACTTTAATTGCAAGAAATGTAAAAATAATTGCTGCCTTTGTGATAGCAGAAATCTAGCAATGTGGATTGGCCTTGGCTATGGTGAGAGGGAGTTGTACATGAAGAAATAGCCAAGAAAAGAATGACTAAACAAACAGACAATAGAAGAGCATGTTTGGGAACACTTACATGAAATCTCTCCTGTTCAGGTTTGTCAGCTGCTGCTGGAATTGGTGTTGATGACCTTCGCCGCTTATGCATACTCAGGATGAGTTTTGTAAAAGGTTGGGGACCTGATTACCCAAGACAGAGCATCAAAGAGACACCGTGCTGGATTGAAATTCACTTACACCGTGCCCTCCAGCTTCTAGATGAAGTACTTCATACCATGCCTATCGCAGACCCACAACCTTTAGACTGAGCTCCCTCTGCCACACTGCTGTGGGCCGTTATATTGTGAGGATGGTGGATTGTAAAATACAATTCTGTTTATAACCTGAAGATATATTTTACTTTTGTTCTGCTTAATCTTCTAAAACCAGGTTTTAAAAATGTGTTTGCCGCCTTGCTCTAAGCAGAAAGAAACTGAACATGCAGAATTTGGATTTCAGTTATTTTTCAGAACTTAATTGTCATAATACATGGCTCAGGGCTTAAAGTGAAAGGTAAATGCCTTATAGAGACTTTACAGTGTTGGGTTTGTTCCCTCTGAAACTTTCCTTCTCTATGATGGCATCTTGGTGATAAGCCTCACGGGAGCCTTTTGTATGCAGAATATATATTATATATATATATTTATATCTGAAAATTCCTTCTAATAGTTATAAACTTTTACCTTATAGCAGCTTTAAAGTTCCAACTGATTTGTGATGTTCTTTTTAGGGAACAATAGTTAACAGAAGACTGTTATTTTGTTGACTATCTTGTTATGATTTTTCTAGATGAAAAAGTAGAAGCTGCCAAAAAGTGGGGATGAGACATACATTGTTGGCATTGATTAAAAAAAGTAAGGAAATAAGGCATTTCCTTCACTAGTTTTCAAAAAAATATAAAATCTTAGATTTTTATTTATATAGACAAGTGAGTTTTAAAACACTACAAGAAAGGGATACTTCCAGTGCTGGCACTCAATTTAAATACACCGTGAAATACCCAGGTCTTCAATGTTGCCATTGAAATTGCAAAATGAATACCTAATGGCAGGAACGTATTTTCATAACTACTGCTGACTTCTGTGATTTTACTCAAGTAAAACTTGGCAGGTCTTTTAAAAAAGATTGCATGATTCTTTTTACTTGCATATACCATTAAACCATTTATAATCTTACATCGATACTTAGGATCCAGTTTTTTATTTGTTCACCATTTCCACTCAGGGCAAGATGGCAAACTTGTTTTTATACCTCTTGGTTATTTTAAGCCCTATGCCATCAATGACCGTATCAATTGGCAAGGAATTTCTAGTAGAAAAAAAAATGCAAATGTATTGACAATATGTATGCTTTGTCTATAGGTAATAGTATAAATGAAATTATCAAAGCCCTGATTTTTTACAAATTTAGTTTGCTTTTATTATGTAATTCTGCACCTTGAAACCATTGAACTTGAGTGATGGATTGCTTCCCCTTAGCAAGACCACCAGCAGCAGCCAACAGTGGTAAGAATTTTTGTTGGTTTTAACGTGCCAGGAAGCAAGTCCAATTCTTCTTCCTTTCGCTATTTCTCCATAAAAGCACGTCCTGAGGATATCTCTTTTGGCTGTTTGATGGGGTACGAAGAGGGAGCAGGAATTCTTTCTTTTTCAGAGTTGGAGCTTAGTTAAACAGCCTCAGAAGAACGGAGACTCCAACAGAAGTCCTTCAAGCGCTGCCAGGTCGCTCTGCCTGCCGTGCTGTGCTGAGCCGACCTGGCAGCACTCTTGCAGTGGTTAACAGAAGTCTTGGAAGAGATTATTCAGAAGCTTTTTGCCAAGTTTCTTGCATAGTTTCAGGAATCTGTCGAGGGCTCTGACACACAGTGTTTAGGTACTGCTTCCCCCATACCCTGAAAAATTCTTTTGGAAGAAGTCAGTTGTCGTCGTTTCTGTCTGAAGCGTGGAGCACAGAAGACATGACTTTGGAGCGATGGCCAGAAATGGATGAGTTTTCTCTGTGTTTTCATTAACAGTGTTGTCTTCTTCTAACTTCTGATAATTTTTTTTTTCCCTGCCTCTTATGTGGCAGCTTCTTGATGTTTGGAAAAATGATGTTCACATGTCTCAAGGCCTTTAGTCTAAGACCTTTTTCATTTTACTTTCTCTCCTAATGATCTTGTTTATCTAAAAAGCAAGCTTCCTCAGGTTCTTGAGGAACACTTTGAGTGGAAGATTCTGACTACATCCTCAGACAAGCTCATTAACGACCAGCTCAGTTATGCTTCATCCATAACAGAGAACTTGATTTGGGGGAAGAAACGAAAAGCCTGACTACACTTTATTCTTGCTAACCTCCTTTTTGAATTGTCTGCTCTTACTGCTGGGTTGGAGGTGCCTCGGCTTTTTGGAAGTTTCTAGCCTTCTGGCTGATGAATTGCTTGTAACAGACTGCTCCTTTGATGAGGAGTCCGTGAGCTTACTCCTGTTTTAACTTTGCGATTTTGCAAGGTGCTCAATCTTGGTGGATGACTGATCTGTATACGGGTGCTTTACAAAAAGCCCTCTGTACCAGTTGCTTACCTTTTGATGGTGCCAAACTTCGATAAAATTGTGATCAACCACTTCCTCCTGTTGTTCTTCTTGCTTGTATTATTCTGAAAGAATTCAGCTGTTCAGACTAGGGGGTTTTTGCAGGTGCTGTGCGAGTCTTCTTAAGTCTCTACCTACAGTGACTGGTACCTACAGCTGGCCAAAAACATTCAGAATAAAACAGGAAAATGTCAGATGAGTTGATCAGCACCAAGAAATCACAAGCTCCACATCAGGAGAATTCTGCACATGGTGTGAGGCAGTAAAAATACTGAAACAGCATTCATCTTACCCACCAGGTGGTTACCCATAAGATACAATCATACAGGGCAAAATGAGAGAATCTTCTTGATTTTAAATATGCCTTTGAACTTAATCTTTGTACTTTTATATCTTATGACAAGGCATAAGAGGCAGCGCATAATGGATTGGAAATCCTTCAGCAGCAGCAGCAGCACATTGAATCTTTGACAGTCTTGCATTCATGTCTTTTTCTGAGATTCAAAAAAAGAGCTACAGCTACTTGACAGCTGTGACCATCCCCGTGTGCGCTGTAGGCAGGGATGTCAAGGATGCCAGAATCACGGCTCCTCTTCAGCTCAGAATGCCTCAAATCCAGTGAATTCAACAGGTATTTTCTGAGCTAGTGATCTCTTGCTTGCGATCCTGTTGCCGTGTCTGCTCTGCTTAGTTCTTCCCATGAAGTAATTACCCCTGTGTTTCTCACCCTTTATCATGCACTCCTCAAAAAGAAATCAGTGTGCTGGAGTATTTTGCGATTTCACTTCATGTATTGGAGAGCTGGGATTAGCTCCGGAAGGTTTAAACTGCTTTAGCCATGTTCTTGTTATTTTTGAAAGCGAGGGCATTTCAAGTTAACACGGTAGAGATGTAGGAGAGGAAACCTTTTCACCGGAATGGTTTAAAAATACTTAATCCTAACGGGAATCCCTTTGAAGGAGCCGTAACAGCTAAGCGGTGCTGGTTAGAAACCAGATGGTTGTTCCTTGCATTGCTTTTCCAGGCTTGATGGGAATGATGTGCTGAGGGGACCCCGGGCTGTGACATAAATCACTTCATTAGCGGCTCTGGGGTGCTGAAGATCGGGGAGGTGCTCCGGCTGCTTTACAGAGAGGGAGAAAAAATACAAAGGAGACAATGGATGGTCTCCCCCAGTCACAAACCAGGCCTGCAGCAGCAGTAGCCCATGAAGCTGTGTCCAACTCCTGTGCCTTACCTTTGAGACCACCTTCTTGTGACATGTGTAAAGACGACACCATCCTCTCTGTGTAGCTCAGGAATGACTGCCTCAATGCTTCTGCTGGGAACCATTAAAAATTTCCTATGCCAGTGTATAGAGGGGGGGCTTCTGCCTCTGATGCCTTCCAGTGTTTATGTTTTGAGGGTGGTCTTTGTTGAGACCTCTTTAATCTCTTCTCGGAAGAGTAAGCGCTTTAGAAAGGACCGTCTCCTTGATCTGCGTTTTTACACTGCTGCGCACGGTGACGGGGATCACTGGTCACCTCTTAATGCAACCCATTAAAGACAGCCAGATGGAGCTTCCTCTAAGGGGGATTCAGACTTCGTTTAAGAAATCCTCTTTCCTCCCCTCCTTCTCCTGTCAGGCCCCAAGCTACGTAACATCTGCTCTATAAAATTATAAGATGCTTAGTTGTCAGGTGCTGTTAAGGACACAGTTTTTGAGCGGTTACTTTCTTCTCAGTTTATAAAGTAAGACTTAAATGCGATAGTCTTGCCTGGTCCTGCTGATAACAGCAGCGTTGCTGTGACTGGTAACAGGTTTTTGAGGACCACGGCGATGTTCTTGGGACTGAGATTTGCAAGTACCCTAGCAGAGGCTTTTTTTTTTTTTAATTCATGAGTACTAAGCCAGTTGGCTTCTACCCGATGGGGGTAGTTGGCGCTTTGGTCCTGGACAGAGAAACAAAACCAACAGGAAGCACTTCTCCATGAGCTGGGTGTCAAATCAAGTCATCAGCCTCCAAAACTCTTGTTCTCCACTGCGCATTTTTGAAAATGATCCGGGAGGTGCGAGCGTGGGGAGTCAAAGCTGCCATGTACGATGCTGCTGAGCTCCCCAAGAACTGACTTTTCAGCTCTGCAAAAGTCTTACTTGGTGAGACGTGATGGAAGGCAGAACTGCTGTCGACAAAATCTCCAGAGGTTTTGGCACTGTTGGCTGCTGTTGCGCCTTGTGAGTAAATACATCGCTCCTAAATTAACAGGACTTGATTCTTCCAAACTCACCAAAATCACCTAGTGCTTTCTTGCTCCAGTACCTTTTTCTGTGTCTTTTTGGTGAAGTTTGGTAGCACTACTAAAGTTGTGATTCAGCTGGATTGAGAGCTGCAAAGTACCCATAACCCAAAACTCACCGTGAGAGGGTTTTTTTTGAGCATGAAAGCCTAGTTTAAGCGTTTCCGCTTTTAGCCATTGCCTTTTGATAAGCGGTCAACGGAATTCCCAGTAGTTCCTTTGTAGCTTACTGTATGTTTTTCATTAGACCTAGTTTGTGGATAATATACTGTAGTTAAACTTTCCTGAAATTCTGTAACAGAGTATGTTTTTGATTAAAAAAGGTAAAGATTCACGTCTTCGGCTTCTTTATTTCATTCCCTGGAGAGCCTGGTGGTGAGCACTTCCCTTTCCCTGACCAAGAGTTAAAATTCCAGGCGGGT